AGCACACATTTGGTCAAAGGATCGGCCTCACTTGTCTCTTCGACGAGTTGTCGTGTGTTGCTACGACTGGCAAGACTCACTGACGATGCCGGCGAAGCGTCTGGAAGTGTACCATGTCCACGGTCCGAGTCTGGAAATGCTCATGCATACAATGGACTCGCTCTTACTCAAGGTTCGGGTGCCGCTGAGGGTGTAAACTGCATTCCACCCCAGAGCACCTTTGCGCAAAACAAGGTTATGTGAAAGTGAATGGAAACGTCTGTGGGAAAATGTAGCTGTTCATATAAGTTCCTATTTAAGAATGATTATTTAATATGAATGCAAATAGACTTTAAGTCTGTGTTTGATATTTGCAGTAGAAATTGGTCATTCCATATTACCTTAACGGCTGTGGAGACTTTAATTTTGTATGAATGCTCATATTGACACAGTCTACGAGATATTCCGTCATTTGACGTACATCATCGGAACTGCAATTCATTCTTGCAAAAGTCTCGAGCTAACATTTGGTCAAAAAACACTGTCCAATTCTATTCTCCATGCTATAGACACTTGTAAATAAAAGCCAAATTTTATGGATATGAACAAACAGACACAGAATTATGTGTTTCTTTCTTTCATACTAGTCATGCCATTGGTAGTGAATCGATCTGCCTTGATGTGTATGTGTGTGTTGGTGTGAATGTAGGTGTTGACGTGTGTACGTAACATAAGCCCAATATTGGACTCGGATGAGCAAGGCTTAATTCCCGAAAATGCGTGAGTCCATGAGCCAATCTGGTTGAGATGACGATTGATCACAAGACCATCCAGCATAATGTGTGTGTGGTGGATAATCAAGATGTAACCATGACGCTAAATGTATGTCTGAGATTGCGTAATCTCGTTCATCTGGTGGGGTTTTGCAAACTGTGAAACTGTCCAATCAAGCGTACCGGATGTATTCACACCTATTTCTTTTAAAGTGATGCAGCAGTCCTTTTTGAATCTTGCCACAAGCATGTGAAATTCACACAATGTGATATGGTAAAATGTCTGGCCTCGCTTGAAAAGTGACATCAGAGGCTGTAGCCCAGACGCCGACTAGCACAGATGGGGTGACAGGGGTCGAGTGGAATGCTCGAACCGGAGAGAGAACAGACGAATCGTACGGGGCAAGAGAGAGACGCGGAGGACGGACATCCTCGAAAGTGGAACCGGCCCAAGGGCATTCTTGGAAATGTTGCGTGGTAGATGGCGTATCGAGGTTACATGCTGCAGTGTTATGGTTCGACTCCCTCCGGGGGTCGTATGATAGTAGGGTTGGATGAGAACACCCTTTGGCAAAGTAATGCTCTATAAAATCCAATGGAATCGTCAGCTAAACTCATATCATTGTGGGCAAATTCGACTACCAGTCCTTCATCAACTTGGACGAAATTGGGTGAGAAGATATCATACTACTGATTTACTGGTAGTCTCGAAACTCTACTCCAATACGAAGAGATTGTATGGTGGAGATTGTATGGCGTTTGTGTCATTGTGGGCAACTTCAACTACATACATACAATTTGTAGTCTCGAAACAGTACTTACCTTTTGTCGAGTAAGTTGTCATGACAACAGTGGTGTCAATTTTGAGCCAAATCTTGGCGATTCTTGGAGTGGGTGCATACTGCTTCGCCTCACTTGTCTGCATGTATTTGTTTTCTGTACCAGATGAAGCTGGCCTACCAGACGGCCAAACGACAGCGTCTCTTCGTCTACAACGGAGCCGAGGGTGCGTCGGAGTCGAGTCCGAAGCGGGAGACGGACGAAGGTGAACCGGTGTCGGACGTCGTCAGCACACGTTGGGCCTTGGAGACTGGCATCGGCGTGACTGTCGTCGTCAGCGCCGCTCCCGGTCTGGTCGCGTCGACGGCGACTGTCGGCGGCGTCGACGTCCGGTCGGCCACGAGTCCGAGTCTGGCGGGGCCGACCGACGTGCTCGCCTCGGGCGAGGAGCATCTCGACGCCGTGTCCGTGGCCGGCTCCGCGGTTGCCGGTGTCAACTGCGGCGGTCAGGGCATCCCCAAGTTGACGCTGGCCAAACAGGGCAACGGACACTTCAGCGTCATCTCCACGCCCGCCAGCCTGGCCGGGGAGCACGGCGACTCCGGTCTCGAGCTCGAGCTCGAGCTCGAGCTCGGCCAATCGGCCGTCTCGACGGCCGGACCCCTCGGCCTGTGGAATGTGGCTCGGGCGGTCGGGCAGTGCAGCCCGGAGCGGGTCGAGGTGGAGCGTCGTCAGCGCGAATACGACTTCGAGGCGCACGAGGCCGATACCGTCTCGAGCCCTCCTGAACTGGCCGTCTCTGCCGTGGCAACAATGCCCGTCGGCCTTCCGGTCGCCCTGACGACCAATGGTCAATGCGTCGTGTCTGCTAGTGCAGGCACAGCCGCATTGACGGCCAAAAAGCGGTCTGCCGAGCTGGCGACATTCACACTGGCTCCGATGCCGATGACGATGCAGATGGCAACGGCGACGTCGATGCCAACATCAACATCAACATCAACATCAACATCAACATCAACGTTGATGTCGACGCCGACTCAGACTCCAACTGCAACTGCGGCTGTGTGCGCTGCGGTGACGAGCGTCGGAGACGCCGTGAGGGCGACGGCCGGCTCGCTCGAGCCGGTGGCTGGGCTGGCCGGCGTCGAACTGCTTCAAGCCGGCCCAACTACGACGCGATACGCCGTCTCGTTGTCCACGGCCGGGCAGACGAGTTCAGCCCATCTGGCCTGCTCGGCGTCCGGCCAACTGGGACCCACGGGCCGGAAGCGGGCTCGCAAAACGCCAGCTCTTGGAGGACTCGACGAATTCACCAAGTAGGCAGCCAGACTCGGTCTTAACACGTCTTGTTGAGTCATCCCGTGCACTCATTGGCTTGTATCGTTAATGATATGTATTCGCTCTATTTCGTGTAAGCTGATGAAGGACTGGCAGAAGAAGAATTTTCCCATTCAATTTCACATGGCCTTGCTTTCCCAAAAGTTGTTCACATCCTTAAACGAAATTGAGTGAATACACATATTGAGAATTTACTTTATTTTTCGAATTAAGTATTGTTTTCGTGACTACCAGTAAATAAGTAATATGAGATGTT